CTCTTGGTGGTAGCTTCCCGGCGGGCTAGAGCGGCCACAGGCGGTCCATCCGGCTTCCGGCGCTGAGGGCGGCACTTCCGGGGCGGGCGGCCCCGGAGGAGAGAGGAGTGTCTGACAGTTGGCGCCGCCGGGAGGGCGGGCGGGCTGCACGAGTTGGTGCGGGCCCGGTGGGTCAGGTGAGGCGCGGGCCGGGGATGGTGAGACTTGGCGGGATGTGGTGGGGATGAGGGGAGCGTCCGGGACTACGGAATCACAGTCCGGGCTCCGCTGTGCGACTCCGAATGAGCAATTTCTTTCTTTGAGCCTCAGTTTCCTCTTCTGTAGAATGGGGATCAGAATCAGACGGTAGCACCCGGTTCCTGGGTTGGAAGGAAAATTCAGCACATGCACGTCGAGCTTTCTAGCACAGCGGCTGCACCCAGTGCTCACCTCGTTACTACACCATTATTGTTGGCGCTGATGATGATCGTGCTGCGCGGGAGAGATTGCTGGGCTTGCAGGCTGACGGACTGGAGTTCAAGTCCCAGCTCCGCTGTGCGGCAGCCGGCCAGAGCCTTTCCCTCTCGAAACCTCAGTTTCCTCGTCTTTACAGGGAGGATTGATAGTCCCAATAGCATAGGTTCGTTGTGCGGATTCTGATAAATGTTCATGCCTTTAGCATAGCAAGAGGTCAGCAGATCGGGACTGTAATAATAATGATATTGAGAGTCTGGTTTAGCTGGGAATTCCAAGAAAGTAGAGAAGGGAGGAAGCTCATACACAGTAACAGGAAAAAACAGAACTGGAGCCCAGAAAATCAACATCCTGTCGCTTACTGTTTGGCTAGTTTTGCCCTGTAGTGTAGGTTTTCCTTTTCTTTCTTTTTTTCTTTTCTTTTTTTTTTTTTTTTTGAAAATGACTGGTGCATGTTTCTCAATCACATAATTGAAGAAATAAAATTTACATTAGTATCCTAATGGAAAACTAACATTGCTTGTCATGAGAAGAAGGAAACTTAGCCTGAAACACAGTAGAAATACAACAGTCCATTCAGTTGTAGGTAGTAAAAGAGAGGTAATTGAAAAGAGGATAATTAATACTATATGATTCCATGTTGTCAGATCCCATGGACCCCATCGAGTATACTTTGTTCCCGACTCAATTTGGCATGCAACTAACATTAGGTTAGTTACTGTCCCACTCTGTCCCTAGCTCAGTGAAGATTCATTTTATTTTGTTCTAAGGGCTTTGAGTTTATTAATTCATTAAATCCCTCTAATACTTTTTTTTTGAAAACAGGATCTCCCCATATAGAGCTCAGGCTGGGCTTGAACTGGACATCCTACTTCCATTCCCTAGTGCTGGGATTACAGGCATGCAGCACCATACCTGGTGTTCTGACACTTTTAAGAATAGGTGATTTTATCATTCTTATTGTATGTTTGAGATAGGTTATTTCCAGAAAGTTTAATTCATTTGCCCAGGATCAGAAGTGGTAAAATCAGGATTTGGATCCAAGTCTTCTAAAGGTTTAGCACATGGAGTCTGGTAAATGGTAATTACTTGAGTTTTGGTAGCTGGCCTTTTAAAAGTTCTTACTTTGTAACTTCAACTATTCAGAGAGTCAGTGCTGAAAATGGGATTTTATTTGTTTGAGGGTTTTTTTTTTTTTGGCAGTACTGAGTTTTGACAGGTGCTCTACGACTTGAGCCACACTCCCAGCTCTAAAGGTGGGCTTTTTGTTTTTGGTAGTACTGGGGTTTGAACTCAGGGCTTTGTATTTGTGAAGCAGATGCTCTTTACTGCTTGAGCCACACTTCCAGTCCATTTTTTCTCTGGTTATTTTGTTTATTTATTTATTTTTGGCAGCACTGGGATTTGAACTCAGGGCCTCATGCTTGCTGGGCAGGCACTTTTACCACTTCAGCCACTCTGACAGGTGCTTTGGTTATTTTGGAGATGGGGTTTCGAAAGCTATTTCCCTGGGCTAGCCTCAAACCTCAATCTTCCAATCTCAGCCACCTAAATAGGATTACAGGCATGAGCTATTGGAGGTGGACTTTTTATTTTTATATTATTTATTTTTTATTTTTTGATGGGGCTTTTTAGATGGTAGAGTGAAGAATCTGGGCATGGTGGTATATGCTGTAATCCCAGCACTTGGAAGCAGAGGCAGGAAGATCACAAGCTTGAAACCAGCCAACAAACAAAAAAGGTGGTAAAGAGAGGAAATTAAGCTCAGTAGCAAATTCTGCCACAGTGGAGGTGGGGGGATATCAATTCTTAAAGGATTCTGGTAGGATCTTGCAAAGACAGATCATACTGCCTGGCTTATAGGCATCAGTGATAACCATAGCCATTAGTCTGACTTGAGTTCAAGTATTGGCTCTGCTATTCCTTGCTGTGTGACCTTGGACCTGCCACACTCATCTCATTTTGTTTTGTCCTTGTTTGCTCATTTTTGCTTTGTTCCCAGGCTCGTTATGAGAAGTCACTGAGATGTACTCAGTTCCTTGCACGTAGTAAACACTCGAGAGGACCTGCTTCATGGGCATCAGAACCAGGACAAACTTGTTTTTGAATCCCAGTAAGGTCAGTTGCTAGATGTGACATTTGGCCAATGACTGTTCCTCACTGAGTCACTTTTTTTAATTGACGAAAATGGGGCTAATAATAGTCTTCCCTCATGGGGCTATGGTGAGGCATGTGCTGGACGCTTGGCTGTGTCCTGGTGCACAGTTGGTACCTGGTTTGGGGCTTGTTATTCTGTCTGACTTTCTGAGCCCTGTCCACGCACTGCTCTTTGAGAGGTGCCTGTTGTATCGTCTTTGTCCAGTGGTAAAATCCAGAAAGTGAATCTAAGAGTGTCAAGTGCAGGGTGGACTGTCATCTGTCGCCATGTTTATCACTCCGAGATTCAGCAGAAGTCAGAGAGGGCAAGAGAATTATTAACTGTGTTAGAGGAGAGAGTCTCACATGTGGGGACTTAAAATGTCACAAATCGGGACAGCCAGGCAGCAGGAAGGAAAGCTTGCTAGGAGGACAGTGGAGATAGTCATTCCAAGTGCAGGTGACCTCCTGTGCCCAAACTGGGAGGCAAGCTGGGCAAGGTGGCACATGCCTATAGTGCTAATGACTTGGGAGGGAGGCAGGAGGGTCAGTGAGCTCAGGAGTTGGAGGCGAGTCTGAGCAACATAGCCAGACCCTGTCTCAAACAAAACTGGGAGGCATAAAGCTGAGGATGGTTGCACACACTTGTAATCCTAGCATTGGGGAGGCTGAAGCCAAGGCTTCATAGCGAGACTGTCTCTAAAAACAACAACAAAACAAAACTGGAAGGCAGGCAAAGCCACTGTTGGAGAGGGAGAGAGTCTGGGGGATGAGAGCAGATACATAAATGTAAGCCTTGTTTCAGTGTCTGTAGACATAGAAACCAATCTAGCCCATATTGCAGGCCTTCAACGTAAGTAATGTTTGCACCATCCCAGTTCACAGATAGGGATACCGAGGCCTGAGTGGTGAAGCAGTTTGCCAGAACACACAGCTAGTAAGTGGCACAGCAGGATTTGAGCCCTGCAGAGCCATGCCTTTTTTTTTTTTTTTTTTTTTTTTTTTGTGAAGAGCTTTTTCGAGATAGGGTGTCATGAACTATTTTCCCAGGCTGGCTTTGAACCGTGATCCTCCCGATCTCTGCCTCCTGAGTAGTTAGGATTGCAGCCATGAGCCATCACTATTAACCACTCTGTTACACCAATAAAATGGGATGGTAAACAGAAAGGGGTTGGAGAAGAGTGAGGGACTTCTGCACCTAGGGTAGAGGCAAAGGAGGGGTGAGGGAGAAGGATCGACATAGGGGGCTGGGCCAGATGGAAAGGAACAGAGTGAAGGGAGGGGGCTGAGGAGTTGGAGGAGATGAGAGACCTTTGATGCAGGGCAATGTGGCCAATGTGAACCATGAGAAAGTCGTTTTCATTGGTTTCCTTTCAACACTTACATTTATGGCTGGAGAAGATCTCCATTGGTGCTAATGGGTCTTATCTTTTTTTTTTGGCAGTACTAGGGTTTGAACTCAGCCTTGAACTTGCTGAACCATACCTCCAAATCAGGGCTACATGCTTGTTAGGCACTCTACCACTTGAGCCACTCCACCAGCTCTTTTTTGGTTGGGTATATTTCAGGTCTTTTGAACTATTTGCCTGGGCTAACTTCGAACCTCAGTCCTCCTGATCTCTACCTCTTGGGTAATTAGGATTACAGGCTTGTGCCACCAGCGCCCAGCTATTAATGTGTGTTAAACACCTTTCTAGCTTCTCTTAGTCTGATCTAAGTGAAAATTGTTTTTCCATTCCTTCTCTGGAGCCTCTCATGACCTGGGGCCCTCCTCTCTGGCTTGTCCCCTCCTACTGCCCTTCTCACTCACTCCACTGCAGCCACCCTGGCTCCTTGCTGTCCCTCAGACATGCCAAATGAGCTCCTGGCTCAGGGCACTGGCCTCACAGTACCTTCTCCTGGAACACCCTTCTTCCAGAAAATCACACTGCTCACTTCTTCCCTCCTTCAGATCTCTGTGTCACTTTCGGTCTTTCCTGATCACCCTGTTGAAATTGTACCCTCCCATTCCTGGCCCTCCATGTTTTCTTTGCTTCATTGATAGCTTCTAACACATCAAACTGTTAACTGTTTTGCTTGTTTGCTTTCATCTTCCTGCCTTCCTGTTCCCAACTGCAGGCTGTGCTCCATGGCTTTGTCTCCTTGGTAGGTGCTCATTTGAATGGATGGAAGAATGGGTACATATGGTGGAAGTCTGAGGCAGGAGGTGCCTTTTTTCCTATTCTGTTCCTGTTCTAGCCAGACCTTTTGGAGTGTGTAGGTTTGGAGCTGTGGACATTTGCTGTCCCTGGGCCTCATCCCAGGCAGAAGCGATAGCTCTGATGGCAGCTCTGCCTCAGGCTGACGTCCTGCCAGCTGCTCTAGGCTATTCCTGGGTGATGAGCCCCTAGCCCAGGAATGCTCCTCTGGCAGCAGACAGACAGGCACCGGGAGAGGGACACAACACTTTTCAGTGGTAGCGACTTATGGGTTCTCTCCCTTCACTCTCTCTTCCAGGCTCTAGGGAGCAGAGTCAGAACCAAGGAGACGATGGTCTCAGTGACTATGGGTGAGTCCGGCCTTCCCTACGGGGTCTCCTCTCCCCACTGCCTTTTCTGAGGTCTGGCCTTGATTGGGGGAGGTACAGTGGAGGAGGGAGGGCTGGCTCACGGGTAGAAACAGCTGTGCTCTGACGAAGGTGGGGTGGGAGTGGGGCCTGCGCAAGGCGCCTACCTGCCTCTTTTCTGTATCTGGGCCTCCTGATTGTGTAGCTTGGCCATGAGAACTTGGGTTATGAAGTTGGGCAGATTCCTACCTGGCCTGTCAGAACCTTGGTTTTCTCACCTGTGAAATTAGATGCTAGTACACCCTGGAATTAAGGAGATTATTGTCTGTAAAATCTTGGGATAGTTATGAACAAATGCTAACTGTTGTGATCATTATGAAACTGGTCCCCATATTCTCTTAATTCTTTGATTTATTTATTTTGGTGCTGGGGATTGAATCCAGGGCCTTGTGCATACTAGGCAAGCCCTCTTCCACTTGTGCCACACCCCCAACTTCCAGATTCTCTTTAAATTCTGTATTTCAGGATTGCCAAGGCATAGAAATTCATTGGTAGCTTAGAAAAAAATTTAAGATTTATTGTACATATGGAAAAATATATCAGACATATTTGCATGGTTTTAAGAGGAATTAAAAAGCAAACATCTGAGTATATCCTTTATGATTTCATGTATATATAGCACAAAAGCAGGAAAAACCAATCCATCCTGTTAGAAAGTGGTGGTTGCCCTTAGGAAGTGGGAGAATAGTGGTGACAGGGGACTCAGAGGAGTAGAGGTGTTGGAAATGTTTTGTTTCTTGATCTGTGTATTGGTTACATGGGTGTGTTTGGTTTAAGAAAATCTATTGACTTGTGTACTTTCTCTTTTTTTTCAGAGCTGGGTATTGAACTCAGGGCCTTACACCTGCCAGACAGGAGCTCTACCACTTGAGCCTTACCTCGAACCCTTTTTATGTTTGTTACTTTTGAGATAGGGTCTTGTTTTTGCCAAGCTGGCTTGGACCTTGATTCTCCTATTTGTGCTTCCCTGCATAGATGGAGATGACAGGCATGTGTCACCATGCCCAGCCATTGATTGAGATGGGGTCTTATGAACTTTTCTCCTAAGTTGTCCTCCAACCACTATACTCTTGATTTCCACCTCTCAAGTAGCTAGGATTGCAGGCTTGAGCCACTGTGCACTTTTTTGTGTATATGTGGTTCAGTAAAAGTATTGAAAAACTTGGCTGGGTGCATAGTTCAAGTGATAGAACACTTGCTTACGAAGCATAAGACCCTGAGTTCAAACTTGAGTACTGCCAAAAGAAAAAAAATAAACCCATAAAACTTGTCATCACCAAGAAGTGAAGTATTGCTATAGTCCCCTACCCAGTCACATTCCCCTCCCTCCTCCAGGTGGAATAAACCACTCCCTTATCTTCTGTATATGTCTTTCCTTAGCTTCCCTTATAGCCATATGACCAGCAGGAATGTTTCTGTACTGTAGACTTGGGTTTTAAACTTACAAAAACAAAATCTAGTGTGTATCCTTTTGTGTCTGATTTCTTTGAATAACATGGTATTGAGGGTCACCTGTGTGACTAAGCATAGTTATTGTCCTTTCCTGACAGAGTCTTGTTATGTAAGCCCAAACTGGCCTCAAACTCAGGATCCTCCTGTCTCCTCCCAACTGCTGGGATTATGGTGTGCACCACCGGGCTGGGCCACTATGGTCCTTTATTTTCACTGATGTGTAATATTTCACCATGTGAGTGACACCATTTGTTTCTGATGCCAGTGTTAATGGATATTGCATTTTTTTGTTTTTTTTGGTGGCACTGGGGTTTGAACTCAGGCCCTCACACTTGCTAGGCAGGCACTGGAGCCACTCTGCCAGCTATTGCATTGTTCCCTTTGAGGCTTGGACAGGCTGCCATGAATGTTCTTGTACATGCCTCTCCCAGCATGCCCTGTGCGACAGCCTCATCTCACTAATTATAAGACACATTGTTGCACGACACCTTTGTAACGATTTTGAAGTGGACTACATTTTAAGAGTTTTCTGGCTACACATTTTCCTTCTTAGTAACACAGGAAAGGATGATCAGATGTGAGGCCTTTTGCAGTTCTTTGGACATTGGGTTTCAGTAGCCTCTTGGATAAAATCACAGGTGCTGGGCTCCATGGTAGAGGGGGTGCCTAACATGTACAAGGCCCTAGGTTCGTTCCATCCTCAGCACTGGAAAAAAATGACAGGTGGACTGGTGGCGGAGTAGCTCAAGTGAGCACCCATCTAGTAAGCTTGAGGCCCTGAGTTCAAGCCCCAGTGTTGCAAAAACAAACAAAAAAACAAATAAAACACAGGTTTTGTCTTAGGCAGAAAGCGACTCCTAACCTCTGGGGTCCATTTTCTCCACTTAGCTTAATTGAGATACAATTCATAGATCATACATTTTCATAGTTAAAGTATACAGTGGGTTTAGCAGTCTGTTCACAGAGCTGTGCGACCAACACCACAATGAATTTCACAGCATTTTCATCACTCTTTCCTAAATCCCGTACTTCTTAGCAGTTACTTCCCTCTTTCTGGCTACTGGCAATGACAAATCTACTTTCTATCTCTGTAGATTTATCTCTTCCCAGCATTTTATAGAAATGGAATCATGATACAGTGCTGTGGATATTTAGATAAAGACTTCCATCTTGGGGCTTAGGGCAACCCAGAGCCTTATGGCATGACAGTGCTGTGCAAAAGAGAGAGTGCACGTGGTAGAGGTGCTCATAAGGACAGGAGCTCCTTGCTGGTTCTAGTCCCCCAGGGCTCAGGCCACTAGTGTCCTCAAAGATGAACTTGTAGCTGGCTGGGTAGGGGATTCCTTGGGAGATGCATGGCCTATGGATCTTCTCCTGAGCCCTGTGTGCCACCCATGCAATGTCTGATTCTGAGTGTGTCAGTTTCTCTACTCTGAGCCTCAGTTGTTTTACAAGGAAAACCTAAAATAGCATGAGCCCAGCATGGGGCTGCATGCTGGTAATCCCAGCACTGGGGAGGCTGAGGCAGGAGGATCTAGAGTTCAAGGCCAGCCTGGGCTACATACAGTCTGGGAGACCCTGTCTCAAAAAAAAAAAAAAAATATATATATGTATATATATGGGGGTGTGGCTCAAGAGGCTCTGAGTTAAATCCCCAGTATCATTAAAAAATAAATAAATAAATAAAAGCATGGATTGTTAGGTATAGTGTTATCTCCCATGACAAAGAAAAAAGAAGTTGCCAATAGTAGCTGGGCACCAGTGGCTCACACCTGTAATCCTAGCTACCAAGGAGGCAGAGATCAGGAGGATCGCGGTTCGAAGTCAGCCCAAGCAAATAGTCATCACGATCCCATTTGAAAATACCCAATACAAAATGGTTGGCAGGGTGTCTCAAGGGGTAAAGTGCCTGCCTTAGCAAGTATGAGGTCCTGAGTTCAAGTCCCAGTACCACCAAAAAGACAAAACAACTACAAAAAAAAAAAACAAAACCCAAAACCCTCATTTTTTTGTACACCATCAGTTATGAGGTAGATCTTAGTTTCAGAGGTGGTGAAATGTGAAAAAGAAAATGTTATATTTGGAATCACTGATCTTACCTAAAACTGGGGCTGAAAAGTCAGGGTCAAGTCGAGAGTCCTACTCAAGAGGCTGGGAAAGAAGTTTAGAAACAGTCATGGGATCTGTCATGGCTCTATGTTTTGTTTCTGTTTTTGTTGTTTGCTTTTTAGGTATGGAACCCGGGGTCTCGTGCTAAACATACAACTGTCTCACTGAGCCATAACCCCAGCCTAGCTCCAAATTTAGTGATGGTGGTACAAACAGTGACAATAAAATACTAGTAATAAAAGCTGACATGGGTTGGGGGACATTTTCTGGGTCAGACACCACTTAAAGGCTTATATGTGTGTAATCCCAGCTACTTGGGAAGTAGAGACAGAAGGCTCATGGTTCAAGGCCAGTGTAGGCAAAAGTTCTTATCACCCTATCTCAAAAAGAAACTATATGTGGTGGTTCATGCCTGTAATCCTAGCCACTTGGGAGGCAGAGATAGAGGAGGACTAAAGTTTGAAGCCAGCTGGGGAAAAGTTAGTGTGAGAACCTATCTGAAAAATAAACTAAAAGCAAAAGGGCTGGGTGCGTGGCTTAAGTGGTAGAGTACTTGCCTAGCAAGCTTGAGGCTATGTGTTCAATTCCCAGTACCACCAAAATTTTTTTTTTTCTTTTTGAGTCTGCACAGTGACCCAAGGACTTTGGTACTGTTACTGCTAAAAGATCAGCTCCATGAGGGCAGGAGTGTCATATTGTGTCCTGTGGTATCCCCATTGCCTGGAACAGGACCTAACTTATGCTGAGTGCCCAGTAAAATACTTGTTAAATGTACAGTATTATCCCAAACCAAGCACTGACTGTTGACCGAGCTGGTATTCGAACTGACACCTTGAAGACTGTGCTAGTAACTTGCATGCCTCTTCCTGGGTCCAGCTGCTCCTGCAGCAGGCGGGGGTTTGCTGAAGCTGGTGGGCTGGTTCTGTGACCTTCCTCTCATTTCCTTCCAATCAGGGACCGGCCAGGCACGAGGGATCCTGTCCCAGCTCCAGGGCAGGGCTGAGCCTCTTAGCATCACTCCCTGGACTTAGTTGTTCAATCTCTCCTGCCTCCATTTCTCCATTGGCAGATGGGGGAGTCCCTGTACTGCTTGACACACAGTTAGTTAGAAGGGCCTGCTTCCATCCCCTGCAGAGCATGCAGCAGGTGCCCTGGCAGGAGAGGGACTTTTAATTGGGGCCACTGCTGCTGCAGTTTTGTTGCTGTTCTTCTCTAGAGAGGAGTGTGAATAACAAACCCTGTCCATCCCCAGCCACTTCTGAGTGGATCCAGTTTTTTAAGGAAGCTGGCATTCCTCCAGGACCTGCTGTTAATTACGCCGTGATGTTTGTGGATAACAGGTGAGGTGGCTGATGGAACAGGGCAGGGGGAGGTAGGAGCTGGCTGGCCCGCCCAGTGTGGCCCCCTTCGGCCCCCTTCGGGCCTCACTGAGGACTCTCCTGGCAGGATCCAGAAGAGCATGCTGCTGGACCTCAACAAGGAGATCATGAATGAGCTGGGCGTGACCGTAGTGGGGGACATCATCGCCATCCTCAAGCATGCCAAGGTGGTGCACCGCCAGGTGGGCACCCTGCCTAGCCCCACTGTCCCTGGGTTTAGCATGGAGGAGGAGGAGGAGACAGTTGCAGAGCCAGTAGGAGGCCTTGCAGCAAAGGCAGGTCGTCCTGGGTTCATGGTCACATTATCTAAACTTCTCTGAGCCTTATTTTCTCTGTCTCCTCTGTGCAAAGTGCAAACCTGTCTCGAAGGGTGGTTGTGAGTATTAAGTCATCAGGCATGGTACAAAATGCCTGAATCAGGTATCAGGAAGACTCTCTTCAGTATTGTCATTGCTAGTTCTTATCTTCATGATAGCTATAACCTTCTCAATGACCCTCTCTGTCCCCAGGCAGGAGCTTCTGTGGAACTTGGGTGGTAGCCTGAACATTTCGGTGTTGCCCCTCCACTTACAGTGATCCACCTTTCTGGGGCTCTCTGAACAGGCTGTTCACATACCCCTCATAGGGTGGCAGTGGCTGTCTACCAGGGAGTGACATGGCACTCCTGTGCCAGACCTGGAGGAGAGTGCTCACTATGTTATAGGAGTGAGTACTTGCCAGGCACTTGCTGTGTACTACTGGGCCCTGACTCCACCCTTTGTACACATGAACTCTATGACCCCTCTCTCCATTGGACCCAGAGGCGGCCTCTCAGAAACCCACTTTGCCTAGTGATGGCTGCTGAGCTGCTTCTGGTCCCTCCTAGTAGCTTCCTCCAGCCCAGGGACAGGCCTTCACCTGTCCATTATCCAGAACAGGATTCCACAGTGAGGACTTCCTCAAAGAGGGACATTAACTCAGTTGGAAATGTCAATGAGCAAAAAAAAACAATTTTTTTTTCTTAAATTTTATCATCAGTGCTAGGGATCAAACATAGGGCCTGAAACATGCTAGACAAGAACTACATCTCCAGCCTTGTATTTTCTTTAAACTTTTATAGAATCATTTTTGATTTCTAGAAAAATTCTGATATCAGTACAGTAAGTTTCCTTACCTCCTTCACCCAGCTCCCATTGATGTCACCATCTTAGGTTGCCATGTACAGTTCTCAACTAAGAAGAAAGCACTACCACACAACTAATGATGACACATTATTTGGATTCCATCAGTGTTCCCCAGTAGTTTGTTCCAGGATCAAATCCAGGCAACCACACTGTGTTTACTTATCATGTCTTCATAGTCTACTTTGATAGGTGATAGTTTCTTAGTCTTTCCTTGTATGAAACTTTGACAGTTCTTTTTTTTTGGTGGGACTGGGGTTTGAACTCAGGGCTTCTAGCTTGTCAAGAAGGTGCTCTACCACTTGAGCTGCACCTCCAGTCCATTTTGCTCTGGTTATTTTGGAGGTGGGGGTCTCATGGACTATATGCCCAGGGTTGCTTTGAGCCTTGATCTTCTCAATCTCAGCCTCCAAAGCAGCTGGTATTGTAGGCTTGAGTCACCTGCAGCTGGCTAAGTTGTTTGTTTTTTTCAGTGCTGGGAATTGAGCCTAGGGCTTCATGCATACTAGGCAAGCTCTCTACCCCATAGCTATATCCTCAGTTCATCCTTGATAGTTTAAGGAATCCTGGTCACAGCCAGATATGGTGGTTCATGCCTAATAGTCCTACCTACTGGGGAGGTGGACACAGGAGGATCACAGTTCAAGGCCAGTTCAGGCAAAAAGTTTGTGAGAATCCATCTCAACCAATAAAAAGCTGGGCATGATGGTGTGTGCCTGCCATCCCAGCTCAGGCAAGCCCAGCTCTATTTGAAAAATAACTAAAGCAAGAAGGGCTGACAGCATGGCTCAAGTGGTAGAACACCTGCCTAGCAAGCATCAGCCCTGAGTTCAAATCCCAGTATGGCCAAAAAAAAGGTACCAATTAGGTATTTTGTGGATTGGCCCTCGGTTTGGGGATATGTGATGCTGCCTCCCACTCAGGAGCAAGATTGTTCATGCCTATAGTGCCAGCATTTGGGAGGCTTGAGTCAGGAGGCATGAAAGTTCTAGGCCAGCCTGGACTACATAGTGAGACTCTGTCTCAAAAAAAAAAAAAAAACAAAAAACCAAAAAACAAACAAGAAGCAAGTCGGGCACTGGTGGCTCATGTCTGTAATCCTAGCTACTTGGGAGGTTGAGATAGAGAGGATTGTAGTCCAGGGCTAGGCAGGCTGGGGAAATAATTCTAGAGACCCCATCTCTAAAATCAAAATGAAGGTGTAGTTCAAGCAGTAGAGTGCCTGATTTACAAACACAAAGCCCTGAGTTCAAATCTCAGTCCCATCAAAAACAAAAACAAGACAAAATAAAAAACAAAAAAAGGAAAATGAGCTAGTTCATCTCTTTTCTAGCACTCAGATTCTGATCATCCAGTTGTCTCTCAGATCTCTGGGTTTCCAGTTCTGCTGTACTAATCTCAGTGCTGTTTTTTATAGGACATGTGCAAAGCTGCCACTGAGTCGGTGCTCTGCAGCCCCAGCCCCGTCCCAGGCGAGCTTCGCCGTGGCGCCTCTAGTGGTGAGTCCCGTCTGTTCCATCCTCCTTACATCATTGCACTCTGTCACTGATGAGATGGGTTTGATTGTCTTGTCCCTCCTGTAGTTTGCAGAGATGGAAGCAAAGTCTTCTGAGGCTCTCTTCTCTGAGGGAAAAAAACTAAGGTGGGCAGCAAGTGGCTGCTGTTCCAGTTCCTTCTTTTTTTATTTTTATTTTCAGTGGTATTGGGGTTTGACTCAGGACCTCAAGCTTGCTAGACAGGTGCTCTACCACTTGAGCCACTCTGCCAGTCCTTTTTTGTGATGGGTTTTTTTCCAGATAGAGTCTCTCAGAACTATTTGCACAGGCTGGCTGGAACCTCAATCCTCCTGATCTCTGCCTCCTGAGTAGCTGGGATTATATGTGTGAGAGACCTGCAGCCGGCTGTGCCAGTCCCTTTTCATTCACAGTACTTATGTTCTATGAAGTCGTTGAGAACACTGAATTAGTGACTACTGAGTCACTGTTCCCAGGGGGAATAACAGGTTAGGTTCCTTAAAGCCTCTTGTCATAGCACTTTCATTGGCTGATCAATACATAACCTCATTCTATTCATTTATTTGTTTTGAGGCATGATCTCACTTTGTAGCCCAGACTGGCCTGTAACTCAGGATTCTCCTGCCTCAGCCTCCTGAGTGCTGAGATTATAGGCAAGCACCACCATGCCCAGCTTATTATTAGTATTAGTATTATTCTTTTTGGTGGTGCTTGGTATTGAACTCAGGGCCTTGCACAGGCTAAGCACTGTACCACTGAGCTATACGCCCAGTCCATATAACCCTATTATTAATTTTTTTTTTTTGCTTTCATCTTTCTTAGTTTTTGGAAACAAACTATTTTTTTCTACTTTTTATTAATATACATTACCATGTAACCTTATTTTATGCATGTTTATTTGTGTGTGTGTGTGTGTGTGTGTGTGTGTGTGACTGGGGTTTGAACTCAGGACCTTACACTTGTTAACCAAGTGTTCTACTGCTTGAGCCATGTCCCCAGTCCATGTGTGTTTCTTTTTCTTTTTTTTTAATTTTTAATTTTGTTTTTTTTTTGGTAGAACTGGGGTTTGAACTCCGGGCTTCATGCTTGCAAAGTGGGCACTCTACCACTTGAGGCATACCTCCAGTGCAATTTGGTCTGGTTATTACGTATGAGCAATTATTTCTTTTTTGGCAGTACTGGGGTTTGAACTTAGGGTCTCATGCTTTTTAGACAGGTACTCTTATCACCTCAGTCATACCTCTAGCTGGTGTGGTTATTCTGGAGATGGGGTTTCGTGAGCTATTTGCCTGGACTAGCCTGGAACTACCATCCTCTTAATCTCAGCCTCCCAAGTAGCTAGGATTATAGATGTGAGCCACTGGCACCCAGCTGTGTATTTCTCTTTAGACACCTTAGTCACTATATATTGTTGATTCATTAACATTGAACTCATAGCCAACAAACAGCACCAGAACTCATTGTTGAACAACACTTATCTCATGAATATGTTTTCCATTAGACATATCACAGCCTTTCTACACTTGGGAGCACCAGACTACACCTCAGCACCATTCTTGGGGCCATTTTAAATAGCACAGTCATCAAGAAAAATCACAGAAAGACAAACAGTGTTCACATTTATGGCACTAACTAGGCTGTGGAAAGGACGTTTGCTTACAGTGTGGAAGCCGAGGCCAGAAGGCAGCGTGATGGGTAGCACGGTTCTCACCGTGCAAGTCTGAATGATTGCAGAAACACCAACGTGTTGATTTTGGGGCTACAGTGCATTTTAGTGAGTAGGCGAATTTGCAAATACAGAATTTGTGAATGATAAGATCAACTATATACTTTTGCTTTTTCAGCAATATGACACCTTATTTTTTAAAAATAAAATGTTTCCCTCCCTATAATGAATACATCCTAATAAAAATTTTTTATAATAAAATGCTAAAATTTAGCATACATTCCTGTTAGCCTTTTCTGCTTGACATGCAACCTCACAACTGGTTCTTTTTTCTTTTCTTTCTTTTTCTTTTTTTTTTGAGAGGAAGGGGGACTTACTCTGTAGCCCAGGCTCTCCTCAAACTCTTAAACATCTGGTTTCAAGTGATCCTTCCACTTTCTGAGTAGCTGGGACTATAGGTACTGTGGATTTAAACACAGACATTTATTTCTCATGAGTTTATGGGTTGGCCATCCAGTTCCTCAGTGGTCCTATGCAGCTAATTTGAAGTTAGGTGATCAAGTATGGTTCTGGTTACATGTCTAGTGGTTGGCTTCATGTCATCTGGGTCAACAGGGGTGACTTAGACAATGCCACTTACTATGTAGCAGACTAGCCCAAGCATGTTCTCACAGTGGAAGTCTCAAGATTCCCAAAAGTAGCATAAGAGGGCAGGCCCCAATGTACAAGTACCTTTTATGCCCCTGCTTACATAGCATTTGCTCTTGTCTGATTGACCAAAATAAGTTACGTGGCTAAGCCAAGTCAGCATGGGCAGGGCCCCTCCAAAGGAGTGGATGCAGGAAAGCTGAGCAAACCAGGGCTCATTTCTGCGACAGTCCCACAACATATATGCAGAAAAGGGTTTGATCATAATGGCACAGGTGAGTGACTTTCAGAGATGGGACACCCATGCAGCCAGCATCTGATGCAGAAACAGCCGTGACCCAGAGTCATCCACATGCTCCCTCCCAGTTATGTTGCCTCTCCAGGGTGGCACCCCTGCCCTGATTGCTAACAGCATGGATTAGTTTCACCAGTCTTTCAAGTCCTCGTTGATGACATTTCAATAACTTTCTGTAGTAGTCTTTAATAGTCTTTATGTCTTTAGTAGTTTAAAATAGGTTTCACAGCCAGGCAGCAGTGGCTCACACCTGTAATCCTAACTACTCAGGAGGCAGAGATCAGGAGGATCGCAGTTCGAAGCCAGCCTGGGCAAATAACTTGTGAGACTGTATCTCAAAAATACCCATCACAAAAATGGGCTGTTGGATTGGCTCAAGGTGTAAGCTCTGAGTTCAAACCTTAGAACTGAAAAAATGAAATAAAATATGTTTCACAAATGAAAATGTGGGCTGGGAATGTAGCTTAGCGGTCGAGTGCTTGCCTAGCATGTGCAAGCCCCTGGATTCAATTCCTAGCACCAAAAAAAAAAAAAAAAAAGTATATTTACTCAAGAACTAGTGAAGAAAGTAGGCAATTGAGAGGAGGAAAAAGGAAAAGAAAGAAAGGGGTGGGGAAGAGCACTCCAAAAGATCATTCCCGATAAGATCACTTGTATGCATTTCATAACAGGGCAGAGTCAAGATCCTGAAGTAAATCCCTTTTACTACCAAAAAAAGAGAATGTTTTAGGCACTGGGAATACAGCAGTATTCAGTCAATGTTTCCTCAGGGAGCATGTGTTCTTATGGGGCGTCTACCAGTAAGGGTAGAAATACAATTTCCTGTCAAGAAATGATAAGGGTAGATAGTGTGGGCAGGATGATAGAGGTGGTGGGGTGCTGGTTTGAATGGGGAGGTCAGGGGACTTTTCTCTGAGGAGTTGCCATCCAAGACAGAGGGAGCCAGGTGTGGCAGTGCACTGTGATCCCAACACTCGGGAGGCTGAGGCAGGAGGATTGTGAGTTCCAGACCAGCCTGGGATACATCAGGAGACTCTGAATCAAAAAATTAAAAAGAAAATACAGTGAGTCTGTTGGTACTTGGGGAACTGCATTCTGTGCAGAAGGAGCCGCATGTGCCCCAAGAAGGCACCCACTTTGTGGGTGAGAAGATCCTGGAGGTGGGTGTGGCTGAAGCAGCTCGGGGAGCTGGGGGGATTCTGGTCTAGGGCCTCAGGAAAGGCTCCCAGGGCAGGGAGGGGTGGATTGGTTCCTGGGAAGATGAAGAAGACACTGCACCCCCCAGCATCCTCATCTCCCCAGGGTGACCCCAGCTGCCCCTTGCTTATTCAGCCCAGTGCTCACCTTCTCTGCCCTGGCCAAGACTGTTGGATTCAGGCCTTCCTCCCAGGGCTCCACCTCACCATACTGTCTCCTTTCTTCCCTGCAGCTGCCTCTCGAATGATCACCAACAGCCTGAACCGTGACTCCCCACCTGGCACTCCCCCCAGGCGGCCGGACACGAGCACCTCCAAGATCTCTGTCACTGTGTCCAACAAGATGGCAGCAAAGAGTGCCAAGGCCTCCGGTGAGGGGACTCAGGCAGATGGTGGGAGGAGCTGGAGGTGAATGTGTTGACATGTGTTTGGGGTCATGCTCTCCATGCTGCAAAGCCACAGGGTGTTCAGTGTTTGGACTTGAATCACCTCTGTGAACTTAGTCACCACACCTCTGTGAGCCTCATTTCCAGGACAGTGGAAAGCATTTGAGAGAGAGTACTGAAGTACGTGTGTGTTACACTTCAGTGGCTCAGGTTTTTGTTTTGTTTTGTTTTTTGGGACCAGGTCTCACTGTGTACCCCAGGCTGGCCTCAGTCTTTCAATCCTCCTGCCTCAGCCTCCTGAGTGCTGGGGTTACAGGTGGGCCCCATCATATCCAACCACTCAGTTTTTCTTTTTCAGGCAGTACTAGGGTTTGAACTCAGGGCTTCATGCTTGCTAGGCAGGTGCTCTACCACTTGAGCCATACCTCTAACCCAACTCAGTCTTTTTTTAACACATGTTCTCTGAGCTCCCACTGGTGCTGGGCCTTGTGCTCGATGCCTGGGGTCAAAGGCAGCCAGAGAGATCCTTTACTACCTTCAGTCCAATCCTGAGATCCTGAGCCCTGGCTGTGACGTAACAGGGCTTTACCTTATTCAGATCATGAAGCCCAGCCTTCCTCATGTAGGGTCCTGCACTATGTATTCATTTCTTTGTCTTCTTCCCCCCTTGCCACCCCCATGGTACTGGAAATTGAACTCAGTGCCTCAAGTTTGCTACACAGGCACTCTACTACTTGTGTGATGCCCTCCTGGACTCATCTCTTGCATCCCTTCCTCTTGCCCGTTGGCACCCTCCAACTCCTTCTCAGTGTGGGTCTTCACCCTTCATGTCCTCATGTCCCTTCCCCTGGAGCACTCTTTCCGCCAGGACCTCCCCATGGCTGGCCTCTATTTCTCTTTCCAGTCTCAGCTTGAAAGCTGAGACTAGGACTCCAGTCTCTGGGCTCCTGAGTGACCCCCTCTCTCTGTCATGCTCTTATGTCTTTGTTGAACCCCTTCCCATATTGTGGTGTTAGAAGGCTCATGTGGAAACTGAGACCCATGGAAGTGTTAATGCCCAGTGCTGTCATACACTGTCCCTGGCCATTGCATGGGCCTCCCCTTTGTGTGTGTAGAAGCCTCACCCGTTCTGACCTTTGATTCATGTGCCATGAGCAAGAAAGTTAAGATTGAACTAATTGTATTCTTTTCTTTTTTTTTTTTGGTGGCGTTACTGGTGTTTGAATTCAGGACCTCATCCTTGCTAGGTGCTCTACCACTTGAGCCACTCCACCAGCCCTGTTTTGTGTAGAGTATTTTCGAGGTAGAGTCTTTCAAACTATTTGTCTGGGACTGGCTTCAAACCACTATCCTCCCAATCTCTGCCTCCTGAGTAGCTCGGATTACAGGCATGAGCCACTGACACCTGGCTACTTGTATTTTTAATCTAAGGTGTTGAAACAATGGTGATTTGGGAGGGACTGGCCCTTTTACTCCTTGACACTTTTGAGGGAATTCTTTTTTTAAAAAATTGAAGTTAAGCCAAGTGCCAGTGTCTCACACCTGTAATCTTAGCTACTTGGGAGGCTGAGATCAGGAGGATCACGGTTTGAGGTCAGCCCAGGCAAACAGTTCATGAGACCCCATCTCCAAAATAACCAGAGCAAAATGTACTGGAGGTGTGGCTCAAGCAGTCGGGCGCCTGTTTTGTAAGCACAAAGCCATGAGTTCAAACCCCATAAAAAAACCAAACAAACAAAATACACCTTTCTGGTAGCAGCTATCAGGTAGGCTGGACATAAAAGAAAATATGTGAAAGTATAATTTATTTTTGAATAATGCACAGATGGTATGTATACAGTTTGGTTCCTTGTTAAAAAGTGAGCATGCAAAAAAAAGAAAAGCAGAAAAAAAAGTGTGCAGTTGTGAAAGCGGTCCCTATGGGGTTCTAGAACCTTTCCACTGCCAGTGGGTTCCCTGTAGACGGGGCTACAATGAGCATAGGAGGCCCACCACTGCCCAGAGGTCCTGAGTGCCTCCTGTGGTCCCAGCACCTGGACCTGAGTTCTTCAGTGGCTCAGTGTGTTGAGGTAAGGGGCTCTAGTCATGCAAACATGGAGATAAGAACAGTGGTGTGCTCTCTGCTGGGTGTCCCCCCTGCCCTAGCGAAACACCCCATTCCAGAGGATGCTGACCCTGTGCCCTCCCCTCAGCACCTCTGGATTGCCGGGAAGAGGAGAGCCTGGCTGTTCCTGCCAAGCGGCGCCGGGTCACTGCGGAGATGGAGGGAAAATACATCATCAACATGCCCAAGGGCACCACCCCCCGCACCCGAAAGATCCTGGAGCAGCAGCAGGTGGCCAGAGGTACTGCAGTGTTACTTTCCCTGCTGTGCAGCATGCCTGTGGACAGCGGCTGAGAAATGGGGCTTGGAGACCTGGGGCCAAGGGGACAGCAGTGGTGGTTGTAGAGGAGAGGAGCACGTCACCTCTGTTCTATCATCCTGCAGTGCATGTATCTGGCTCCTTTGTGCTTTGTTCCTGAGGAGCAGGGACAAGGAGTTGGTGATGACCTTCCTGTAAAGTGAGTGACTGTGTCTGCCCGAGGGCAGGTGCCCAGAGTGGGCACTGTTACCATAAGGACGCTGGTGGAGATTCAGTCTGAAGCTAGGGCTTCAGCTGGTATAGGCTTTGTTACAGTAGGGTTGTTTTAGAATGTCATGTCTGAAACTCATGATATTCCTGCCTTAGCCTCCCAAATGCTGGGATTATAGGCATGTACCACCATGCCTGGCCTAATACAAATAGCATTATCAGTATCATTCTGTAACTTTCTTACACAGAAATTAAATTAGCACATGTAGATCTTACTTTTTATTTACTTTTTTTGTTTTGGCAGTAATGGGAGTTGACCTCAGGCTTCTTACTTGCCAGGCAGAGGAGCTCTACTACTTGAGTTATTTTGTCAGCCCTTGTTTGTGTTTATTTTTGAGATAGTGTCTTGCTTTATACCGAGGTTTGTCTGGACCTTGATCCTCCTGTTTGTTCTTCCTTGAGTACCTGTAATGATAAGGCACAGTGCCACTATGCCCATCCATTGGTTGAGATGGAGTCTCACTAAAATTTGCCTCTACTAGCCTTGAACCACCATCCTCCTAATCTCTGCCTCCTGAGTAGCTAGTATTACAGGCTTGAGCCACTGTGCCTAGCCTTCATTCTTTTTTGTTTTTTGCTTTTGGTGGGACTGGGGTTTGAACTCAGGGCTTCACACTTGCAAAGCAGGCGCCTCTACCATTTGAGCCACACCTCCAGTCCATTTTGCTTTGATTATTTTGGAGATAGGGTCTCAGGAACTATTTGCCTGCACTGGCCTCAAACCATGATCCTCCTGATCTCTGCCTCCCAAGTAGCTAGGATTACAGGTATGAGCCACCAGTGCCTGGCTCTTTCATTCTTTTTTTTTTTTTAAGGTGGTACTGGAGCTTGAACTCTGGGCCTCACTCTTGCTAGGCAGGTGCTCTACCACTTGAGCCACTCCACCAACCCTCTTCATTCTTTTTTAATCGTCACTTATTTCCATAGTTTTGTAGACCTTGGGTTAGTACACATTCTGTTGGTGGAGACTTAGGTTTTTACTTAGGGAGAGGATTCATTGCCATTCATCAGATTCTCTCAGGGGCCCCCAAAGTGAAAGAAACAAGTGAGAATTAAGAACTCTCCCCTACCCCACATTTCAAGAACTGTGCTAAGTTATACAGAAGTTTAGTGCCAGTTTTAATTGCTCTTTCCCACATGTGACACTAGTGGGTGGTGGGGGCAGTCAAAGTCAACAAAGCCTGATTAAGGCACAGTCTTTATCTACTGTAACCCAGCTGACTGTACCAGCCACGTTGTCCCCTCTCTTGGTGTCTGCATGGTGCTCAGCCTAGTCCTGGGACCCCAGAGCATGTGCTGCCTGATGGCCTCGCTTCCCTCCCAGGTCTCCACAGGACGTCTGTGTTCGACCGTCTCGGTGCAGAGACCAAGGCAGACACGACAACAGGGAGTAAGGTGAGTTTGGAATGATGGAGCAACTTGGGCTTGCAAACTTGTGTCTTCCCTGTGTTGACCCTGACACTTCCACATCTCGCCTTCTCCCTTCCAGGTAACACATCTCCCCACCTTCTCAGCCTCAGTTTCCTTCTTTACCCTGGAGGCTCTCGCATCTTTCTTTTGCCCTGACCTCTCCCGATTTCCAGCCCCAGCCCCAGTCCCAGTCTCTCTGACTGCTGCTGTGGTTCTCTCTGATGCCTCCCACCTGCCATATCCCAAACTGGCCTTGGCATCTTCCCCTGAAGCCACTCCTCTCCTGGGGCCCATCGCAGGGTACCTACCATCTCCCTTTCAGTCAGTCACCAAGTCAGATGATTCCATCTGTCAGCTCCTATGCCACCTCTCCCTGTCTGCATAGGGCAATGGCCTCCTACTTGGTCTCACACAGCTGTCACCAACCCTTCCAGCCCTGCCCCTACAGCAGCAGTGCGTGCTACACAGAATGAGCTGTCCTCTCCCAAGGCTTTTCACTGTGCCCATGATGACAAAGCCACTCTTCTTGCATGGCTGCAGTCTCCTAGGTCCCAGCCACTGCATATAGGTAGGAGAACACTAGGAGCCCACTGTGGTTGGCTGTGTGGCCTTGGCCATATCACTTAAGCCCTCTGTGCCTTGTTTTCTTCTACAGCACCAGCTCATAGGTGGTCTCAAGGCATCACTGAAGGGGATTCTGGAGCAGAATAAGCACTCCTTTGCTGGACTGTGCAGAGCTCCTGGCTGCGTTCTCTCCCTTTCGATCCCTTTCTCACCAGGGTGCAGTCACTCTACCTGTCTCCCACCTCCCAGAATCTGATCATGGCAATGATGCCTGCAGCTTAGTGAATTCCACAGGGACCCAGCACGTACTCTTTTTGTTTCTTGTTCGTCCTGGAGGGTCTGGCTTGAAAGTTGGTGTCTCCAAGAAGGTCCTTCTGATCTCCAAGAGGAGATGAGCCACCCTGGTCTCCCATCCTCATTTCTCTCCCCTCCACAGAATGCATCACTGTCAAGCTGACAGAATTATTAGTGTCCTTTCTGATGCCAAATCTGTCTCCCCACTGGACTGTGGGCCCATGAGGGCAGGGCTGGCCATCCTGGCCATCACTGTGTCCCTAACTCTGCCCAGCCTAGGACAAGATACAGAGTTGGGCTCAGGAAATGCTTGCTGAGGAAATGACCAAAAGCAGCTTTCTTCCTGTGCTGTTCTGTTGACCTTACCAGAGGTCTTCCCTCTGTGGCTCATGCTGTCCCTCCCCGCCTATGTGAGATCTGCTTCCATTCAGTCCTCAGAGCTCAGCTCAACTGGGCCCTTTCCCAGGAAGACTTCCTAAGCTGCCATGCCAGGTCAGTTTCCTCTGGGTTCCCGTGGTCCCTCAGGTTCCCCCATCACAGCTGTCACCCTGTCTCAGATGTCACTGATGGGTGTGTCTCCAACTATGAGTTCCAAGAGGCCAGGAACAGAGGAGGCAGTATGTTGAGTGACTGAATGACTCACTGTCTTCTTTCTGACCTCTGCAGCCCACAGGAGTTTTCAGCCGCCTGGGGGCCACTCCAGAGATGGATGAAGATCTGGCTTGGGACAGTGACAACGACAGCAGCAGCTCTGTCTTACAGTATGCTGGGGTCCTGAAGAAGCTAGGACGGGGCCCAGCCAAGGCCAGTCCCCCATCAGCAGTGACTGTCAAAGCCAAGGCCACAAGCTCAGCAACTACGTCTTCCACACCAACACTGAGGCGCCTGGCGCTTCCCTCACTCCCTGGGCTTGAGAAGAAGTCAGAGCCCCTGTCCAAAGTCAGCATCATCCAGAGACTGGGCAAGGCTGCCCTTGTGTCTGAGGCCCAGGACAGCCAGGTCACAAGCACCAAGAGTAAGTCCTCAGCCAAGGTCAAGGTCACCATTAAGAGGACTCTGGTGGGGCCCCGGGGGAGCAGCTCCACCGAGGGCCTTGGTGCCCAGATGGACCATGCGGGCACTGTGAGTGTGTTCAAAAGACTGGGCCGCAGGACCTTCTAGCCCATGAGCGGGTTGGGGTGCGGGCATAGAGCTGCAGGGGGCTCCCCAGCCCCCTCCAGGATCCTGGCTTCATCTGAGCCCACCTCCCTGCCAGATCTGGATGAAATAGCTTGTCTCCCTCAGGCATTCATTCTGGGCCTGAGCCTTCTGGGGACTCAGCTGTTTTTCTTAGTCTGGGATGGTCGCTATGGCCTGGCCTTGCCTGCTCTGAGACTCTCCCTTTTCTCCTGCCCTCTGTTCTCTGCTCTCTGGCTGTGGCCTTGGCAGACCCCACTTTTCTACCTCTCCCAAGTACCAGGTGCCCTTCCTCTCTCTCAGCAGCATCTGCTGCCTGAAACCTCCCCTCTCCACATTCCCATCCCTGTCCCCATTGCCCACCCACAGCGTGGTGTGACCTGGAGGCCTCCCTTCACCTCACCCTGATTTCCCTCACTTCCCCCCATGCTGTAACTTCTCTCTCCCTCTCTTCACTCTGTTCATTTCTCTTCTGTTTTCTGTCCCTGTGGCAAGGCCCGACTGTTCGCTGCGTCCTGCCCGACCCTCCTGCGCCTCCGATCTCCCAGCGGCCCCCTCGTCGACGGTGGCGTCGAGCCTGTAGAGACTGTTAGCCGCCCTCCACTCCTGGGCTGGAGGGCTCCCCAAGCCCTGGGTTGCAGTGGGGCATCTCCATTTTCCTGTCCTGAGCATCTTTTTCTCTGAAAGTCTTGGCTGGTGATGGGCAAGGGGCTTTGGGAAGGGAGGCTGGTTTGGAGAGAAGATGACAGCTGTTTTAATATATTTTTGTGACTTCCAAACTGTTTCCCTCCTCTCTTTCAGGGTGAGTCACAGGTCTGTTTTTCATACCATCACTGTGGGGGGAAGGGCCAGCCAAGGGTTGGACTCTGCCTTGAAGGTCAAATTCCTTCACAAATGTGGTCTCCAAGTCGAGAGGAGTCCTGGTCATGGTTGCCATTCACTTAGACCACTCCTTACCCTTCTGTCATTCTCCCCTTCTCCTGTGGGTTTCCTTGTTTCTGCCACTCTGTGTGCTGGTAGCTTTCCAGACTGTGGGCTGCACTCGAGAGGGAAGAAGTCCTCGTTCATTTCACTCCTCGCTCTGTGCAGCTTCTCCTCTGTGCGAGGCCTGTCCTTGGAGCTAGGGAACCTATAGTGAACAGATGAGCGCCCCTCCTCACTGCCGACCTCTCTAGCAAGGGAGAGGGTGGTCTCTCCCTCCTACCCATTATGGTGCTGCCCATAGAACTGGAGGGATGGGAGAAAGTGGTCAGGGCCACCTCAGGTGTAGTGTGGGAGGAAACCAGAGGAGGCGACCCCTCTGCTGAACTTGGGAAAGAGAAGAAGCAGCTTTGTGAAGTTCTTGGAGACAAGCTGTTTCATCCAGAGCTGGCCCTGTGGGGGAGCAAGGAGCACAAAGAATGCTGGCCAGTGAGTGAGGAGCCTTCCGTCTTCCACAAGGTGGGGGTGGTGGACAGAAAGCAGATGCCCTGGGAGGGCTTTGGTTCTGGGGCGAGTAATGTGGACAAGGGCCTGAGAACATTGAGTTGGGGAGGGTTTGAAGTTGGGAGTGATCATCCAAGCTGCCTTTTATGACATAGTTCAGGCAGGGAACAGGTGGCTTGGCCCAAGGCCATGGCTGTGGGGAGCAGAAGAGAGAACAGACATGGGTGTACTGTGGAGGGGTGGCAGCAGACGGGGCAGTAACAGAACCATAAGGGATGACTAGTGCTAATATTTGGAGGGAAAATTTATGCTGAGGCCAAAAGTATAGGAAATTTTAAATGAGAAGTTTAGAGACTACAGTAACATCCATTTTGCTATTTCTGCGACTATAACCTTGAGATAACAATTAGCTTACAAGGTCTGGGTTGGTCAGGCCCAAGGTGTAAGGTGGGCTTAAAAATGAGTGTGTGACTCATTTTTACGCATTTATGTAAAACAGAAGAAAATGAACAACACATAGACAAGCACACATGCATTAGCAGCTTCATGTATTTGACCATTCCTTTCTTGTTCTTGTTTTGTTTTGCTTTGTTTTGTTTTATTTTGAGTCATACTCTTGCTACGTAGCCCACCATTCCCCAGCCTCTGCCTCCAGAGTGCTGGATTACAGGTGTGCACCACCATGCTTAAATGGTTTTAGAATTACAGAACAACTAAGAAGGTAGTAGATAGACAGTTACCATGTACCCTACATCCCATCTTCCCTCGGTACGGTATATTTGTTACAATCGATGAAGCAATGATAACTCATGACTTTTAATCAAATTTCATATAGTTTATTCAGATTGCTTTAAGTGTTTTTTTTTTTGTTTTGTTTTGTTTTGTTTTTAGTGGGACTGGGGTTTGAACTCTGGGTTTTGTGCTTGCAAAGCAGGTGCTCTATAGCTTGAGCCACACCTCCAGTCCATTTTGCTCTGGTTATTATTATTAGTTTTTGGCTACACTGAGGTTTGAATTTAGGGCCTCATACTTGCTAGGCAGGCATGCTACTGCTTGAGCCACTTCATCAGCCTTTTTTTTTTTTTGAGATAGGGTCTCAACTATTTGCCTGGGTTGGCTTCAAACTGCAATCCTTCTGAATTCTGCTTCCTGAGTAGCTAGGATTACAGGAGTGAGCCACTGGCGCCCAGCTTTGTTCTGATTGTTATTATTATTATTATTTGTCTTTTCTTTTTTGATGCTGGGGAATGAACTTAGGGCCTCTAGAATACTAGTGCTCTGGTTATTTTGGGAGATGGAGTCTTGAGAACTATTTGTTCAGGCTGGACTTCAACTGCTACCCTCCTGATCTCTGCTTCCCAAGTAGCTAGGATTATAGGCATGAGCCACCAGCACCCAGCTCTTGTTTTTTTAGTTTTATTTTTTTGTAGATAGGATTTCTTACTAATTGCCTGGGCTGGCCTGGGACTGGGATCCTCCTACCTCTGCCTCCTGAGTAACTGGTATCACAGGTATGTATCACCACATCTGGCCCAGCTTGGCTTAATTTTGCCCTATGCTTTGGACTCTTACAAGATCTTATCCAGGATACCATGTTGCATTTACATTGTCAAATTTGACATTATGTTGCCAAGTCAGGAATAGTCACCTCTTCTTAGGCTCCTCTTGGCTGTAGCAGTTTCTCAGCCTTTCCTCCCTTTTGTGGGATGGGGGGGTGATGACCTTCAGAGTTTCTTGTTTTGGTTTTTGCTGGTACTAGAGCTTGAACCCAGGGCCTTGCAAATGTTAGGCACTTGAGTCACCCCCCCACCCCCAACCCAACCCTGAGAAATTTGAAGCTCTTCTGGTCCGGTCTATTATGGGATGTCCCTGCATTGGAATTTGTCTGATGTTCTTCTCACAGTTTCTTGGGGAAATGTGCTTTTCAGAGGGAGACTTCAAAGATACAGTGCCATTCCACTGCATGTGTGGTACACACTCCACATTCTCATCCTGGTTGTTGTTGTGTTTTTTTTTTTTTTTTCTTTTTCTTTTTCTTTTCTTTCTTTCTTTCTTTTTTTTGTTGGTATTAGGGTTTGAACTCAGGGCCCATGCTTGCTAGGCAGGTGCTCTATCACTTGAGCCACTCTGCCAGCCCTGTTTTGTGTTAGGTATTTTTCAGATAGGATTTTTGAACTATTTGCCTGGACTGGCCTCAAACTGCAGTCTTCCTGATCTCTGCCTCCTACGTAGCTAGGATTACAGGTGTGAGTCACCTGTGCCCAGCAAAATTCTGTTTTATGAAGCTCCTTTTCTTTGTCTCTGTAAGTCTGGCTTAAGGAGCTGGAGGACGGCATGCCACACTCGCTCCCTGAGGACAAAGTTCTGCTAGAAATCACTTGGAATTCTGCAAGGGAGGTGTGTCTCTTTTCCTGACTTATTAACTTTCCCAGTAATTTATTTATTTTTCATAGTGCTAAGGAGCTCTGCCACTGAGCCACATCCCAGCCCAACTTACCCAGCAACATTTTTTTTTTTTGTGGTATTGGGGTTTGAACTCAGGGCCTACACCTTGAGCCACTCCACCAGCCCTTTTTTGTGATGGGTGTTTTCAAGATAGGGTCTCTTAAATTATTTGCCTGGGTCTGGCTTCAATCCATAATCCTCCTGATCTCTGCCTCCTGAATAGCTAGGATTATAGACGTAAGCCACTGGCACCCAACTTTTGTTTTTGCATTTTTTGAGACAGGGTTTTACCAGAATGCTGGATTAACAGGTGTTACCACCAGTAACTTATTATTATTATTTTTTATCAATATAGACTCATAGGTGTTTATTTTAAATAATCAATACTACCTTATTGATTATTCCTCTTGTAGCCATTGGTTCTTGAGTCCCTTTAACTTGACATTTCCCCCCACCTTTTATTTTTTTAGCATATTCTGTCTTTCTGACACTACATGATGTGCAAGCTCATTTTATGTATTTCCTGCCCCAATCCTAGAGTCAGATCCTGGTTCCTTTTATTGTAGAACAATTTTAGAAACCAAGATCTTTGGGCTGGAGGTAGAGCTCAGTGATAGAGTGCATGCTTAGCATGCATGAGGCCCTGGGTTCTGTCTGCAGCAGTTAAAAAACAACAATAAATAAACAAACAAACCAAGAGACCAAGATTTAGGCATGAGATATACTTGCTTCTACTGGATCAATACCTCTCTTTTCTAAAAAAAAAACCAAATGAACTCTTACTGCTTAGCAAGTGTGTAGCCCTGAGTTCAAACCCTACTGCAGAAAAGGGAAGAAAGGGAGGGAAGGAGAAGGAAGGAAGGAAGATCGATCTTACCTGGGTGTGGTGGTGGACACCTGTAATCTCAACTATTGAGAAGGCAGAGGTAAGAGGATCGCAGCCCAACACCAGCCCAAGGAAAGTTAGCAGAGACACTATTTGAAAAACTAAAAGCAAAAAGACTGGGGATGTGGCTCAAGTAATAGAGTGTTTAGCCAGGTGCCTGTGGCTCATGGCTGTAATCCTAACTACTCAGTAGGCAGAGATGAGGAGGATGGAGGTTTGAAGCTAGCCCGGGCAAATAGTTAGAGAGACCCTATCTCGAAAAAACCCTTCATAAAAGCAGGCTGGAGAAGTGGCTTAAGGTGAAGGCCCTGAGTTCAAGCCCCAGAACTGCAAAGTAGTAAGTAGAGCATTTGTCTAGCAATCACCAGGCCCTGAGTTTAATCCCTAGCACAACAACAACAAAAAAAGAAGAAAAGAAATCTTACTATGGAATCCCCCTATATAAAGCATGTTTAAAACAGAAAACCACCAATTTATTTATATACATTTAGGTGCTTATTTTGGATTCATGCCAACAGTATAAAAGTCAAAGGTTCAAAAGAATATATTAAGAGTTGAGAGCATTGCGCACGCAGTAGAGAGTGCCTGCCTAGCAAACAGAAGGCCCTTATTTCAAACCCCAGTACTGCCAAAAATCAATCAAAAAAGGATATACAATAAAAGTGTTTTGTGCTCAACAGACTGCAAAAATCTTGTCTCAAGTGCCAGGAAAGAATTGGGGTTGTGAGATTATACATACTGTTAGTGGAACATAAGTTGGTCCTAGTCACTTTGGAAAATAATTTGGTAAGCTGTGGTCAAGTTGAAGATATCCTAGTCTCTGACCTAGCAATTACTTTCCTAGGAACATACCCTGGAGAAACATGTATACAAAGACATGTATAAAAATGTTTATAGGGCTGGGTGCCAGAGGCTCATACCTGTAATCCTAGCTACCCAGGAGGCAGAGATCAGGAGGATGCCTGGGCAAATAGTTTGAAAGACCCTATGACCCTATCTTGAAAATATTTAACACAAAAAGGGCTGGTGGAGTGACTCAAGGTGTAGGTCCTGAGTTCAAGCCCCAGTACCACACACACACACACACACACACACACACACACACACACAAAGTTCATAAGTGTACTGTGTGTAATAGCATAAACTTGTAAATGACCCAAATATTCATCAACCAGAGAATGGCTAGAGTGTGGCATCTTTGTTCCAGTTACCCAACATTACCCAATGCATAGCGAATCACCCCAAATCTTAGTCACATAAATCAGCAATCATCCTGTTATCTTCTGTGGTTGAGGGGGTTGACTGGGTGCAGTGAGGCTGTTACCACTTGGGGTCCTCATGGTTAAGTGAGAACCTGATGTCCTCTTAGCAGTTTCTTCCAGATCTAATGGTGAACCATGGCTGGCACTTAGCTGGGCCCTCAGTGCATGCTGTCAGCCAGGATGCCTTCGAATGGCTTCTCCATGTGACCTGGCCTTCCTGACAACATGGCGGCTGGGCTCTAAGAGGGACCTTCTCAAGAGCCAGAGGAAACAGTGGCCTTTCCTAGCCTAGCACTGGAAGTCACATTGCTTTGCTTCTGCCAGTCACTGACCCACTCAGGTGCAAGGGAGGGATCATAGATCTTACCTCTTAGTGAGAGGAGTGCAGCATTTCAGTAGGAAGAGCAGGTGGGATGAGAAGTCACATTATGGCCATCTTGGGAAATTAGACATCAATATTAGATGTGTGAAATTATACATTGGCTGTGTAATGCTATACATCAAAGAAGAAGAGCTGAAATTGTTCATATCAATATGAGTAAACCAAAACACAAAGTGAAAAAGCAAACTATAGACGACTGCAGCTTTACAATATGCAAAATGGTGTGTACTGACTAGGGAGACTTAAAATATGGCAAGTGTGTAAAATACTTGGGAATGACAAACCCCAAATGTAGGACAATGTTTCCTTCCGTGAGGGGAGTGGGATTTAATTGCTGAGGGACACATGGGAATTCAATAGTATAATAATGGCCTGTAAAGTCAGGTGGGCACTTGGGTGTTCACTGTGGGATGTGATTCTTTTTGGTGGTATCAAGGTTTGAACTCACAGCATCACGCTTGCTAGGCCAATGCGCTACCATTTAAACCACACCCCCTGCCCTTTTAGCTTTAGTTATTTTTCAGGCAGGGTCTTGCGTTTTTGCCCTGGCTAGCCTCAGACTGCAATCTCATGGAGCTGGAACAACAGCCCATGGCACTACACCTGGCTTGTTTGTTGACAGAGTCTCGCTAACTTTTGTACGGGGGCTGGCCTCAAACCTCAGTCCTCCTGACCTCCACCTCCCTAGTAGTTGGGAATACAGATGTGAGCCACTACACATGGCCCATTGTGTTATACTTTATGCTTTTCTGGGTATCTCTTAATTAAAAAAAAAATACCACCTTTCCTACTGTGGGTCCCTCATTGTGGGTCCACTTCAGAGTCAATCA